GGGAGTGGGGAGTGGGGGTGGTGGAGGCGATTCTACCCATAGAAATGAAAGCCTTCAAACAATGTAAGGCCAGGCTGCTTCCCTCTCTTGGGTCAGCCCACTCCAGGTCTCGGAGTGTACTCGCTTATACTAACAAACTCCTCGCTGTTTTATTCTGCACAAAATTCTGTCTCTTGATTGAATTCATTCTGTCAAGACGACGAAGGGCCAAGATTCAGCGTCATTTCCTGGTAAGCCCTCCAGCCCCGCTCACGTCCCAGGTGCCCGCCCTCACTCGGCCTCACAGGAGTCGGGAGTGAGAGCACCTGGCCTGACAAGGGGCGGGCAGGAGGCCCAGCAGGGCGCTGGGTGCTGGGCACAGCTCTGTGAGGCCCCAGCTGGGCTCCAGCCACCAAACCCGCTGGATCGTAAGGGGAGCCAGAAGTCAGAGACATGAATAAAATTTTCAATTTTCAAAACAACTTGAGATGAGACAAAACGTGTGAGGCGCCCGGCTGTCCACAACCTCGCCCTCCCCGTTCACACCCCCACCACAGAGGTTCAATTCCCTTTGGGGACCTCGAAGCCACATAGTCACCTGCACATGGGTGTCAGGTACTGATAATCGTTTGGAGGGACCCCAGGGGCAGAGAAAACTTTCTGAGCAGAGAAGTACCCGTGGGCCTCCTCCACCCCTAACCTGAGGCTCCTGGCCCCTTTCACAGAGGACGGCAGAAGGTCCCTGGAAAGCCCCTCCCCCACCAAAGGGGGTGCTTGCTGACTCTGGAGCTGGAAATCGGGCCTCTCAGAAGGCCCTGCACCTTGTCTGCAGCCCAGCACCACCTGTCCCGTGGCAGAAATGCCCAGAGGACAAGTGCAGACAACCTATGTATATACCTATGTATATGTGGACCGTGGGTCACACGGGTGACCCTTCTCTGGACATTCGCGCACACCAGTTACAGCTGAGGCTTTCACTCTGATGGACTGGACAGGTCCCGGTCCCCACAGCACAGGGAGGGTTCCACAGCCCGTGACCCGAGGCAGGAAATGCTGGCGTGCCTGCCTTCCGGTCTGCACTCCTTGAGAGGGACCGGGGTCCACCCAGGGGCAGCCCAAGGGCGCCTGGGGGACCAGGATAACACCTGAAGCAAGGATTTTTTTTTTTTTTGGCCAATAAGCAGAGCCTCACAGATGTCCCTAACCACGGGGTCACCCTGGCCAGCGGCACCCCCACCCCCACCCCGTCTGTTTCCTGAAGCTGACAGTCCCCCGGGCACAGCTGGGGAAGACATGCCACCCTGGCCCCGCCTGCAGCCTGATGTAGGAAAGGCACCTTCCTGGGGCCTGGACCCCATGCCGGGCTCTTACCTCCAGTGGGACCACCTGCATGAGGATCGCGAAGTTGGTTAGGTGAGAGCAGCGGCAGGTGGAGTAGCCGAGGTTCCCTTCTATGAGGACACAGCCCTGGGTAGACCAGACCCCTTCTCCGGAGCTGCGGACACAGGACAAGTGGTCAGCGAAAGACAGCAGCCCACCCTGGCCTCAGGCTGAGAGGCGTTCAAGAGCAGACTGTGTCTGGTATGGGTCAGGCCACCAGGGGCTGCTCCCGGGACGGGGAAGCGTGGTGACGGCGTTGCTGCAGTCACTTTGGAAACACCTGGACTGAACCCATTAAGTCATAACGTGTCCCAGCCTGACAGCCCGGCAGCCCCTTCTAGGGTACAGGGACAAGTCGGGGCAATTACTGAGTGATGGTGACACCTGAGAACATAAAGTGACCCAACGTCCGTCCTCCTTGGGGACTGGATCAATAAAAGGGACATACACATGTGACAGAATGTGCACCAACATGGCTGAAACATAGGACATAACGTATCATGTTTAACATGTGAAACAGAAGACCATACATTTCCTACGAACATAACCATAAATTATATATAAATTGTTGAGAAAACTCCCCAGAGTGCTTATCTCCAGGGAGAAGGGAAAAGAGCAGAATAATATGGAAAAGTTTTGCTTTTTTATAATGTCTCACTTTTTAAAAGAACAATATATCGGTATATCACTCGTATCATTCCTTAAAGTATAAACCTAGACAAAAATGACTTGAAGCAAATATGCGTAAATGGTAACTGTGCTTAATCCTTATGGTGCGACAATCAGCAATTATAACTTCCTTCCCTGTATCTCTCTAGATTTTCAAATTTTAAAAAAAAAAGATGTTTAAATGGTTCTTTCCGGAAATTGCAACTTTGCACCATCAGCAAAGGCAGATGTTGGCAGAGATCTGGGGAAAAACGCTCTTGTAAAGTTGGAGAAATGAAAGCGTTCTGGTTTCCCTTTGTTTTATGTTCAGGTTTAGCTGAGACATCAGCCGCGGCCATGCCCGCGGGGTGGCCAATGCCCGGTCCTTCACTACTGTTGCGGTGTTCCGGGAATGGAGCACTTTAGTGGCATTTTTACTTCCATCCCTGAGGCAGAGCGTGTCCCTGTGGGGACCTGGTGTGACGGTAACTCTGGGCGAACCTTGGGTTGGGGTGGGCATTGAGCCTGAGGCTGCGTTTCCAGACAGGAGCTTCCCAGGTGGTTTGCAGGGTGAAAGGTCTGCCCTCCTCAGGAAGGTGGGGACATTTGGCAGGGAGCGCAGCCAGGGCCTGGAGCCTGCTGCTTAGAGGAGCAGGACCCCACAAATCACGTCAGAATAAAAGGGACTTAAAGGGGGGTCTTGTCCTCCTCCCCCACCGCCATCCCTTTTAGTCTAATTTTCCCAGGACCTTGAGCAGAGTCAGCAGCCCCGGCTACCATGTCATTTATAGCGCTCGTCTGTCTATTGGGGGGATGAAGGCCATACTTCAACTAGAAGGTGAGCTGGAAATTAACAGGCACTGAATTAGGTAAACACAGCCATGGGGACAAAAACGCTACCTTCTGCTATGCAAAGGGTGGCTGGGAATCAAAACCATGAAAGTCACATTTCCCCAAATGAAGCCATGAAGGTGTGACAACGAGTGCCTTAACCACCCTGGCGGTAATCCCGAGGGTGGCTCGGGGTTAATTTTCACTGCCAGAAGCGGTAACCCCGAGCCACACTCGGGATTACACTGCAGCGTCCCAGAGAAGTCCCTTACCTGCTCCCTGCGATCCTGCAGTGTCCTCCTGTGATCGCCGACGAGAACGCCGGCCGATGACAAATTGCAGTGTTTTTTATTTTATTACATTATTGAATAAAATTATATGATTTTTGATAATTATTTATTATATTATAATTTATGATTTTGTGTTNGACCACACCCAAGTGGGGGGCCATGCTGAGCAAACCACTGAAGAACCAAGTGGTCAGAGACCAACTGTCCCGGGCATAAGGCGTGGCCCCTCCAGATGTGCACTCATCCCGTCCAACCTGGCTTGGATCCCCCAGAACCTCCTCACCTGTCCCCATGCACACCTGCCCTGTCCCAAAGGTCCTAGGTCCCAATGACAGCAGCAGCGGGGGAGGCCCAGGCATGCCAGTGCCCTACCCCCGCTGACCTAGCAGCAGCTGGGAACCCCATAGTCACGGATACATCCAGGTGACAGGTCTTCAGGACACCAGAGCAGGTGGGAGGGGGTTCAGGACTCCAGGAGGAACCCCGCAGGAAACCACAGAAGGAGGGGGTCACCCCAGGCGTGAGTAACACACAACAGTGCCCGGGGGGGGGCAAGGGGGGTGGCTTTACAGCTGTCCCCACAAATGTACATCTCCCATTTTATTTCTCTGTCCCCGTTCAGAAAGGGCCACAGAGGGACTTAGCTGCCACCTTGCTCAGGGGGCTGCAGGGGCTCCTTGAGCTCTGACCAGACCATGTGGCTTCAGTGGGGAGGGCCCCCTGGAAAGTGCCTCCCCCTGCAGCGCCCTCACACCAGGGACCTCTCCCACCGCCCAGCCTCCACAAGTTGCGTCCACTTTGACGTCCCCGGGAGGAGTCCTCAGCTCTGGCTCTCATTGGCCAGTCAAAGGCCAGAAGGTCCTGTGGGCCAGGGATCTTTCCAGAACCTTCCAGCTGAGTTCCAATTCCACAGCCCCTCCCTCCTCTCTCTTCTCTCCAGTACACCAGGCCCCCTCCCTGCACCCCAGGTCTCAAAAGGAAAAGTGACTGATGTGCAGAATCTAAGAGGTCCCCGGGCATTCTCCAGCTCCCGAGTGCCAGCAGGGAGGTTGGTTGGGGGGAGGGGACAGGAGGGGCACGGAAGGTGACTCACGAGAGCATGGCGAAGGTGACCAGCGTGATGGCCAGGCAGAGCACAGACACGGAGCAGCCGATGTAACTGATGGACGAGAGCGCCACCTGGTGTTCGCGCGTGAGCTGTGCAGGAAGCAGAGCAGAGGGGTCAGCCGGCAGGTCCAGGTCCTGGGTGGGGACTGGGCGTGGATTAGTGTGGCCCCAGCCTGATGGGCACTTAGGCTGGAAAGGCTCAGGGCTAACGAACAGCTGAATACGAGGCAGTGACTGTGGGGTCATGAATGTGTGGTGACCACCAAGTCCTGCCTCTCCCTCTAAATGTCCTGTTGTTGCCACTGGGTAGAGGTCCAGTCCTTGGGTATTAGCCGCTAGTTTTGTACATTTCAAAGGCTCCAAATGGCTCCCTCAATCCTGAAATTCCTCCACCCCCACCCAGCCTCCACCTTACCACTGCCTCACTTTTCCCTCCTAATAGGGGAGCCTCCCCACCACCCCACGCTCAGACATCCACACTCTCCCTCCCCCCGCCATGCACGTGCCTCCTTGTCTAGACTGCAGTGTCCACAGCTGCAGAGGGGCGCTGGGTTTGCTTAGGAGCCCGGTCCTATAGCCATACGCCAGGTTCCAGTCTCAGCATGCCCACGTCCCAGCCGATGACCTGGACACGTGCCTTATGGATGCTGTGACTCAACCAAGGTGCATATATAAAGTGACTAGGGCTGTGCAGGGTCACAGGACGTGCTGTGTGAGAGCTTGTGTAGGAGCTTGCTACTATCCCTGTCACCGTTGACCATAAGCAAACGTGGTACATTAAGGGATGCAAAGCCTCAAAGAACGGTGACAGAAGCCACTGCTTATGGAACTGTGCAACCCCAAATGGCAGCCCTCGCGGCTGCAGGAGCTGGGGTCTCAGGTCCAGGGCCCCCATGAGCTTCATGCTCCCTGAGCCACGCGCCTCGAACACCAGCTTCCCCTGGGGGGTTGCTGCTCTGGGCTCCACGCTGTGGTTCATGGCTGCATCTGCATCAGGGACCCAACTGGAAGCTGCGATCACTGACGCCGAGGTCCCTCTAACTTTGGCCAGGACACCCCTGCCTTTGCCTCAGACACTGCCCTCTCCCCTCGTCACTGGGACAGAACGAGGAAGAAAAGGCAGCGAGTCTGGACGACGGGGATGCTGCAGACCCAGGAGGCTGCACTTCAGAACCAGGACTGGTGTGTGGTCGCAGGTGGGGCCCAGGGATGGTGACTGGGTGGGAGTCACTGCCTTCGCTTCTGATCACTGCTGGTCAACCCATTCCCATGTTAAACCCTCGACTGAGTGGAGGCCGGACAGGAAGCCTGGCCCCGTGGGCCCAGACGCCGGAGGGGTGGCCCTCATCCGTCACCTCCTGTTCACCTCCACGAGTTCCCTGAGCGGGTGGGGGCCGCCAGTGTGTTCCTACAGTGACCCGCTCAGCTGTATCCCAAGGTCTGCCCCAAACTTCCCCATCTGCAGACTCTGCAGACAGCCAGCCCGTGGGGGTTCTGAGCCATCACGTGCTCCAGGTAGGCTGGTGACTGTCCCTAGGACCCCGTTCCCACACTGCTTCTGAGTTCTCCATCTCAGTTGTTCTGGGTGCTCCCCCTCCCCTCAGAGCCCACCCCTCCCCGAGTCCAGTCGGCTCCTGGCCAACGTTATCCATATGTCCTCACATCTCCGGTTTCTATGTCCCCCACACCCCAGGCCTCCTCCTGCACTGCCCCCACCGCCGTATCCCAGGTCACTCAGCACACATCTTCCCAGTGGCCCCTCCACGGGTATCTTGCTCCCCACCAAGGCCCTGCGTGACCGGCCTCACCGCCTTAGTCTGCCAGGAGGGGCAAACAGCAAAGCAAGACCCTGTGGGTCACTCCGGAGAGGGGACTTCACCTCGGTGGATGGGTACGGAGGTGAGAGAAAGCCTGGGAAGGCAGGGACAACAGCTAGACGCCCAGAAAACAGCCGCATTAAAAGCTTCTGAGCTGGCAGGACTGAAGGACAATGGGAGGGGGTGATATGAGGGAGGCCGGATTGCTGGCAGAGCTGGAACCAGGATGAGACTGCCTGGGGGGCTGGGGGTGCAGGGCGCAGGGACTTAGAGGGGCACAGCCAACGCCAGCCGCTTGTAAGCAGAGAGCAGGCACACCTCCAGTGCCCGTCCCTCATTGGCTGGACTCCAGTTGTCAAGGGAACTTCAGACATCAGAGTGAAGGACAAGTGGGGACACATGTGAGAGGACAGGAGCAGGCA